TCACGTGCGCAACTTGCACACGAGACCTCCGAGATTTTTCGCCCTTGTCCGAGAAGACTAGACGTAGATCTTTCCTACCGGAAGATCAGGGGTGTGGCTGACAGACAGTAGTAAGAAGGAGCCAAGAAGTAGCAGTTGAAAGGCTGCAGAGAGAGTCAGGAGCCTAGAGGAGGGGGCAAAGGAGGTGAGGGGGTGGGGGCAGAAAGTGGAGACGAAAGCAGACGACAGAACATTGTCAGAGAGCAGGAAAGGATGTGAAAGAAGAAAATTTTAGAGGAGAAAAATTTTCGTCGCTAACCGGATTCGAACTTGGGACCTATTGAATGAGAGGCGGACACCTTAACCTCCAGGGCACGAGAGCCCCCGTTACAAAGTAATTTAGTACAGTAATGAGCTCAGACTCAAAGGTAAGGTTGAGCGTGTCGGTGACATGGGGTTTAAGGGAGTGGTCACTGGGGTGGATCCTTGAGCAAGACACGACAACCCAAGCTAAAGAAAACAGGGCGTTGTACACTGGAGGCCAGCAACGACATGTTTGTGAAAATGTTCTGTATTGTTGTAATAATAGTATGTATCTATGTATGTATCTCGTATGTATATAATACAGACTTCAACAAAAGTTAAGGACCACTTGCAAACACTCTGAGTGGTCTTCTTGGGTCGACCTGCACGTGGGCGTTCTTGGACTGATCCAGTGGCTTGGTGGCGCTGCCTCAGGCTGACAATGAGAGAGTGTGACACTGCAAGCCTTCTGGCAACTTCTCGGGCTCCAACTCCCTCCTGCAGCCATGCCATAGCTCTGGCCCGATCAAAATCTCTCAGCTTTCGTCTTGGTGGCACGTTGATGCGATACTGGCTTATATTGCCACCATAGTGAGCACAGTTCGAGACCGTATGTCTGTTTATGACGTGCACCAGGAATTTTAACTGAGGAATGTCCGTGGTGTCGCACACAAGTCGATAAAAAGCAGCCAATTTGGCTAGAATTTCACGAGGATTTCCGTGCAGCACATTATGGTTTTGCCCCTTAAGGAAGCTTTATAGTACGCATTGGTAATCCATTAACACTTTCAAAGCAAAAAAATGTGGAAACATTCCTTGCTGTCTTTTTTCGAATTTTTTTTTTAAATCAGGGCAATCTGTCGAGGTGGTTCTTAACTTTTGTTGAAGTCTGTATATTTATGTATGAGTGACTTAATAATCATGCACATACTTATGTATGTTTGTTTGCCATTGTAAGCCAAATTCTCCCCCTCGGGGATCACTAAATAAAATCTATTTATCTATTTATCTATCTATTTGTTTATTTATCTATTTATGTATTTATCTATTAATGTCTTTTTATCTACATTTGTATTTATGTATTTATCTATTTGTCTATTTATCTATTTATGTATTTTTTATGTGTCTATTTATCCATTTTATAATAATAATAATAATAATAATAATAATAATAATAATATTAGATTGTATTTATATAGCGCTCTATCCCATACTAGTATAAGCTCTGAGCGCTTTACACTAATCACTTAATTATTAACACAAGAAAACAGATTTCACAGAAGCAAGAAAAACCAGTTTAACAACACAAAAAAGAACTTTCACAACCATGCATTAACTATACACAAAAGGACAGTGAAAAACAATGTAAATATATAGGCTATGTACATGTATACATGTATTTAAAAAATCAGCTACTTAATAACACACTATAACTACCAATTGAACAAATGAGTCTTGAGCAATCGCTTAAACCTATCAAAATGGGGTGCCCACTACGGCTGGATCGCCCGACTCGATCGCCTGAAACTGAAAACAAACACGTTTGTTTTTGAGGCGATCGAGTCGGGCGATCGGGCCTTTCGGGCCGATCGGCCGATCCCATCCGTAGTGGGCACTGGGCACCCTGAGGCAAGGTGTTCCAGATTTTTGGGCCAACTTTTCTCCCCAAAAGATCGTACATTTTGTAATTCTATTTTAGGGGCTCTGAATTTTGTTGCATTTATGTATTTATCTATTTCTCTTGGGCCTTTTTCTCCAGCCCAGCCCAAGTCTTCCTGACTATACCCAGTGCACACTGCCATCAGATTCATTTGATTCAATCCGTATGAGCCACAGTTTCCTTCATGAATAGGGCAAAGGCAACCATGTTGCCACAATAATATTATGACCGAATTCAACTAAACTTGACTTGTTCTTTCGAAGTCAGATAGGCTACGTTAATTTTTCAAGGTCGCAAGTCGAATCGTCGAATCGATCGTATTGTGCCATTCCCTGAGAGAAAACCTGTCTGGCCCCGCCTCAGTTTTTGTTGTTGGTTTTTTGTTGTTGTTTTTTTTTTTTTGCTTTTTTTGTGGGTAAGTGTTTTACGGCGCTCGCAACTGCATAAGGCCATATGCATTTTCAATCACTAAGAAATTTTGAATTTTGCCCGGGTGGCGGCCGAAGCTTACTCTTATCGATTTTGGACCACCAAGGGATCTTTAACGTGCGCGATTTGCACGCGGGACTTCCGAGATGTTTCGCCCTTGTCCGAAAAGGCTAGATCTAGGTGTACATCTTTTCTACCATAAAATCGAGGGTGTGGCTGAAAGACAGCAGTAAGAAGGAGCCAAAGGGTAGCAGTAGAAAGGCTGCAGAAAGAGTCAGGAGCCCAGTGGAGGGGGCAAAGGGGGTGAAGGGGTGGGGGAAGATAGTGGAGACGAAAGCAGACGACAGAATACTGCAAGAGAGAAGGAAAGAATGGGAAAGGAGACGATTTTAGAGAAGAAAATTTTTCCATCGCTACCCGGATTCAAACCCGGGACCTTTGAATGAGAGGGGAACACTTAACCTCCAGGCCACAAGAACCCGCAGCATCAGTTGTATGAAACTGATTGGCAGTAAGTCAGCATCTATGGCTCAGCATTATGTTACATTGCTTGAACGACCTTTCCTTTATTATTTTAAAATGTATTTATTTATTTATTTGTTTGTTTTTTTATTTGTTCATTTATTTATTTATTTATTTATTTATTTATTTATTTATTTATTA